AATTTAATGCAAGCAGAAGTAAGCCACACAGAAGTAAATTGAATTCCTGGAAAGTAAACTGTCTTAAGTGAAATCTCAAGAAGAGGCTTAGAAAATCTAATTGAATATGTATCAAGAAACATATCTGGAATGATTCCAAATATAACATCACTGTCAATCAACTGAAGAAGTCAAAACAGAACTATAGAAAATAAGCATGCTGACTTATCTTGTAAATGTGGTTGTCACTGAGATAGATTCACGAGATTAGCAGCTAACTGAAGAATATAAGTTTTGAAAAATAATGACAATAAGAGAACTTGCTTTAAAATGTTAATCCAAGACAGTTTCTATTTCTTCCCTGTTTTAAGACTTCCTATGGCTTGCTTTTTGGCTTAGACCCCTTGTGCATTTTCCTGATCTTTCTGTGTAGGACTGAGCTGGGAACCAATGGAGGTGAGGTAGGAGACGCTAGCCAGGCAGGCAGGAAAACAGAATGAAACCTGTCAATCATAAAGATCCCGCTGGAGGCTGTAGGCAGGATGTCAGCTGACCTGGAAGGGGGACAGAGCATAACACAGGTCAATAACAGGATGCGACCTGTCAATCATGGTGGGCTGCTCTGGCAGAGCCATTTCCTGGACTGGATCAGGAAGGATGTAAAAGACAGCAGCCATTAGCTTTGCTGTCATTGTAGTCTTGCCCTGTGTGATCCTGTTTCTGCAGTGGCTGCTCAGCTTGTGGGATTCATCTTTTTTTCACTCTTCTTTTCTTCAGCATGTGTGTTTTTCTCTGTTTTAAATCTGGGTCTGATAATTCCATTATCGCTGCTAATTCTGCGTTTTGTTCCAATACTTGTATCTCTCCAAACTCTGTTCTGCCTTTTACTGTACCTCTAAGTTTTTTCTTCTTAACCAAAGATGATGTGTTGGATAAAGGAACTGCTGTAAATAGCACCTTCTGTGCAGTGCTGGTGGGGTGATGGTGCCTGTAATATTATACACAGATCTGGGTCTTCTAGTGGGTTTTGGTCTACTAACCCACTTTTTTTTTTTGTATCCCACTTTGCCACTTATTCAGGTGCCTTTAGTCAGGTACAGTGGTATATTCTCCCTCTCCAAATGGATGGTAGAGGGATTTGAAGATGGAGTTTCTCTTCCTTTCTGTGGAAAGTTAGAGCTTGTTGAGTGGGTTTCCTATGCTCTGATTCAACCTAGCAGCTAGCCTCTGGGTAAATAGTACCTCCAGAGGGCAGGATGTGCCTAAAGGTGGAGAAGCTCTGTGTATCTTAAGTTGGTCCCCATTTCTCTCCCTTTGCCAAGTTCTCCTTCTAGACTCACTGAGAGGCAGATCAAGCTCCTGCAAGTGAACCTCACAGGAATGTGAACTCCTCTTTCTGATGATCAATTCCCTTGGAATTTCTTTAAAAATGCACACTATATTTTTCAATAAAGAATTTATTGTGAATTGTACACACAGCAATTCAGTTCCATTTAATACATGATTCTGTATGTATTGTCAAATGCAGGCAGTATTTAAGCTGCGTGGAAATCAATATACAGAATGGCTCCATCACTCCCAATAAGCCATGTGTTCAAACTCTTCCCAGTCCCAGTTCCTGGTGATCACTGATGTGTTTTCTGTCTCCAAAATTTTGTCTTTAATAAATAAAATTTACATATATATACAAACTTGATAGGTTATGGCCCTAGTATGAATTGCTGAATTATTATGGTGGTCGTCTGGCATGGCTGAATGTCCGAAACAAAGGCTTGTCTTCCCAATGACCACTTCCTCCTCCTTCCCCACTCCAGCCCTGGGTACAACGCCCTTTGACCTTTCCCGCCCATACAAGGGAGCCTCCAATCAGCTCCTTACACATCACTAAACCTGCCCCTCGAGCTCCACCCCTAACCAAAGTCCATACAGTCTCAGGCTCCCTGTCTCAGGTCAGAGGATCCACACATCTCCCTGCCCTTGGTCCTCTCCATGTGTTTAGAGTTAATAAAAGCTTTCCCTCCCTCATTTCTGCTTCTCTGCTGTGCCACCACCACTGCCACCATTGCTGCTGCCTCTAAAACCTATCGATACTGATGAATAGAATTTGTAGAATTCCCACATAGAATCTGACCTCATGGTATGTAGCCTTTGGGTATTTCCCTTACTCTTTTTTATTGTTTATACAGATTAATGTTGTGCATGGCAGATACTTACATGCACCTACCACCCCTTGATCATTTTCACTTTTTCACTGCCTTGTAGTTTTTAACACTAACTTTTAACTGGTCCCTGTCAGCCTCCGCAGTTTCCCAACTACACACAGGTGTTCCCAGCACTGGTTCCTGCAGAGGTTTGGGCCTGCAGTCTCTACTCCAGCAGTGTCATCCTCTGTGCATGTCCAGCGTCTCTCCACCTGGGTCAGAGGTTTGCCCTGGATCCTTTCTTGTCATACATCTAACAAGATTTCTGGGTTGCTTTTTGTTGTTCTCGTCAAGACAAAACAGAAAATCACAAGCTACTTACATCTCAGGCCGAATCATCAGAAGTCTGCACTAATTTTTAATTTAGTTTATAGTTATTTAGGAGATTTCTTGTTTACTTTTTATGTATTTAGTACAGAGTCTATGGGGTCTCATTATACAGATTGGATTTGTAGTGAACCTCTTGTTTTCAGCCTTCCAAGCACTGGGACTACAGGTGCGCCACCACGCCCAGTCTCAATTGCCATCTTGGGACCCCAGGGGTGGGGCCAGAATAGCATACAGGGGATGGAAACCCAGTCCCTGCATCTGCCTAAGCAGGTGATTTAATCTGCTAAGCTATCTGGCCAGCCCTGATAATGCAAAGATTTTAATGTCATTAGTCTATA